AATTAGTAAACAGTACGTTCAGTGCATAAACAGTGCATAAAAAAAAGACAGTATCTAAATCACCTACTACAATGTGCTTGATCAATCCGTGATAGTTATGTAAGTATTGTTTTCCCAACATCAAATCAAAATAATAAAAAGTATTTTTTTCCTCAGATATATGTTTTTTATATAAAGGGAAGTAATTGTGTTTTCCTAATTTATCCAAGGACGTAATGAGTGCTAAAGAACTAAATGTAGATAATTTTCAGACATAATTTAAATTTGTGGAAAAGTTGATAAGTTTTTAAAAAAAGTGTTTTTTTTAACATGCCGGCAATTATTATAATAAGTTTGAAAAATGAAAATTGTTTTACAGTAGCTCAAATATGAATTTTTAAAATCATGCACACGGAAAGATATAAGTAAATATACAGGCTGTTTTGAAGCGACTTTTAACTGGTATTGATTAATAATGATAGTCAGTAAACACAAACATACCCCCCTCACATTCCCGCAGAAAATGTTTGTGTGTCCTAAATTGTCAACAACAAAAAATTGAGTTGATATTGGTGTTACAAAATCAAACAATCCATCAAAAAAACTATCGTGAACTTTGTTGCAGGGTACCGTGTCAGATAGGAGAAGAACGGAAAGGAAAAAACGACATTAGATAGATAGATTCAATGACAAATATTCTCTGGACAAATCATCCAGACGAGATATATATCAAGACACATAATCTCAAGGACAAATGATCCACAGCCAAAAGATTTCATGATAAAATATATCAGACAATATCTCACAGCAAAATTCGTATAGTATTTGAGATAATTCTAGTTTTATTTTTAAAATTTTGCAAAAAAATTGATTGTCTAAATGATTTAGTGAGAAAAGATTTGTGGCATAGGTTCGTCACATTGCCTTTAACGTATTAACAGGGGCCGCAACCAAATAAATTGTTAAATTGTTAAATTATCCCACTGACTGGTAAACCATAGTATGTGTTAAATTTAAATCATCGCAGATGGGTATCTGCTCTATTAAGAAGTCAGATTTTCGCTGGACAACAGCCAGGCTAGCATTGATTATAAACTTAAAACACCAATGTCACATTACGTTCCTTTAAAACAAAATCTTTCTTTTTGGAAACGTTTTGACCATAATTCGGTTAACGTATCATCATTTTATTTGATTTATTCATTTTTATATCTAAAACTTTTATACAAAGTGCTATTAACAAAAAAAAAGTTAACATAGTCTTCTGATCGTAAATAAAGTAGGCCAACATAAAATCCATTTGACAAGAAATACAAACATGTTAAAATCAACTAAAAGAATCATAGTTACTTAAATATTTTACTTTAAGATAATTTGTCTGAGACTTTTTGTCTGAGATCATTTGTCATGAAATCATTTGTCTTGTCAACCATTGATGACATCAAGGATTTGTCTGAGAACTTATCAACGTGGACGAAGAAATATAAAGTCAACAGTAAGACACCAATAAGGGTTAAAAAAAAAACAAATTTCACTTTCGTGGTCGAGTTCCATACTAATTCTATACAGACGGTATTAGTCATATGATCTGGTTCAGTGAATAGAAAAAAAACGTCATGGTAAAGTCATTAACGTGTGACACAGCGTCAGCCTCGCTAAACATAGCACAATGTGTGAGGGTCGCGGTTTTTTCAATAGACAGGTTGTTGTAACGGATGGCTAACACTTACTAGGATATTCCTTGTTACAAAGTAATTTGAAAGTAAGCTACACACTTTATAATGTATTCTCTTACTTTCCTCTTGAGGAGTTTGATATCAGTGACGAAATGTTCTTAAAATAGTATTTTTTTTATGTTGTCCTATATTGTATAATCCTGCTTTGGTCAATATAATCACATATTACAATTTAATAAAACTTTATGAATTTTTTAAAAGTAAGATAAAATATACACGACAAACCAATGTAAAACACATATTAGGATGTGCTTTTTTTAATTCTGTCAGTAAATTAAATAAAGTGGAAATTTACATTTAGAAGGGTGTGCGGACCTTTGACCACAGGTGCTTTGACCATAGGGGCTTTGACCATAGGGTCTTTGATCACAGGTGCTCTATCAACGGGTGCTTGATCAAAAGCGCTGTGTCCGGCTTTGATCATAGGAGTTTTGTCCACATAGGGTCTTTGATCTCAGGTGGTTTGTCCAATGCTATCCATATATGGTAAGGATTTATTTTAAAATTTGCTATTTTATATTTTAAATTGCGACATGATGTAATAACATGTTAAATTATCATGTATAAATACAAGTTTTGTATCATTTTTATCCTTTATATATGCTATGTATTTTCAAGTACATCTACATTATGTATTTGTGAAACTTGTTATATGTCGAATTTTTTGTGTTTCATTTATATTTAAAATAAATCTATGAGGCCTAGCTAGCACTAGCCTTTATGTGGAGACTAAATATAGTTCTTGACTTTTTTAAATACATGTTAATTTCTATTAACGTACTCTCAGAAAACATGTATCTTCTTCTTCTTCTTCGTTCTTAATTTTTTAGTGTTGGGAGGGATCGAGCCTTATCTGCCAGAGTGTTAAACTCGAGCCTTTTTTCGAATTTATCAACCCTGAGCTTTTGCCGACTCGACCATGCTTCCATCACAATTAAGGATTACTTGTCAACTGGTTATGCGCCATTGACGCCATTGACTCCGATTTCAGCCTGCTTTATCCAACCAAGAACAAACTACAAGGCAGCAGTTGTTTGATTTTGGAGTTGTCTCTCCTAGAAGAGTGGCTGTCACCAGCTATCGAGCCTTATCTGCCCGAGGGTTCGAACTCGAGACTTTTCGGCTTAGCAACCATGAGCTTTACCGACTTGACCACGCCGACCTCGAAACATGTATAAAATCGTATTAATTGTGTCATAAATTTAAATCAAACAAAAATTAATAATTTTTATTTTAAAATCTATATATTATGGTTAGCCCCCCTCTGTGGTCAAAGCCCCTATGGTCAAACCCCCATGGTCAAACCCCCTATGGTCAAAGCACCTAGGACATTTAGAAGGCATACCTTTTACTATTTTTATTTTTTTCTACCTGTTGGCAATCACAAATGTGAGCTGTGTTATAGAGGAAAAGCTGCTAGACAACAAACTATTAATGGATTTACTAAGAATTCAGGTCACAAGGATTTTTATACATCTAAAGGATTTTAATATCAATTGTCTTCCCTCACGTTACCATGACAATGACCTCATGTTTGAAACAATCAAATCATTGCAGCCTTTAATGTCCAGGTAAAGACTAAATTCGCCAGTCTAGAGAGACCAGAGTTTTACCCAGGCACTTAAGTTCCATATCCATTTTATAAAGACAGAGGAAGCCACGTGATGAGGTTAGGGACCGGAAGAGTGTGACTCGATGAACTGGACAAAATGTGTTGTGCTTTTAGATCAATGCAGAGAAGTATATAAACAAATACAGGAGATTTGATGATGTGGACAAGTTGACCGTTATAGTGTCACATCCTAATGACTCTCCTAAACAAGTCTCTGAAGGACAATCAAAACACACACATAAGAGGGATTGCAGCTATTGGTACACAACATGTACATGTCCAGGCTCCAGTGGAGCGACTGTCTACAGGCAGGGATATGGCGTATCGGTTAATCAACATCCCCACAGTGAATCAAACTCGAATAGAAAGAAATATTGGGGAGTTTGCGTGGTGATAAAACGGTTCGTTCTTGTCCACACATTTAAAAAATAAATCGCAGAACATTTCCCTCATTAATGATGTACGTTGATGTAAACTGTTAACCGTTATTATTGTCATCTACCATGATGAATGTTACATATTTTTTTGTTTAAAAGTGTTGTAAATAATATGTGCATTACTAAGTCGCCATATTGTTGTCCTAGAAATTGATAAATAAAATATTATTTTCTTTTATATGGTTATTACGGGCCTACATAAAAAAATTCTAAACAGAAAACAGCTTTGTTCTTTTATATTAATTAATGTCAATGGATGAGTTTGTTGAAGAATTAAAAATGTTCGTCTAAATCGTTATTAGTGTCTATCTTTTGTCCTGTTTTCTGTAATTCTAAAAATAAACATCAAAGCTTCAAATTAAATTAGTAAAAACTGTTTATATAATTTACAGTACATTACCAAAAAAATAATAGTCTACCTTGCTATCATAAAAAAAAACCTTTAGGTATTTAGTCGCCTTTTGGACCAATTCAATGAT